GCCGCGTATGCTCCAACCGAACCTTCAACCGCCGACAGCAAGCGCGTGTTCTGGGGAAAACTTGACAGTCTCGTGCGGAGGATCCTTTCCAAAGAATGTGTGTATGTCCTAATGGACGCCAAGGCGCGGACGGGAGATGGGTTGGACGGAGGGGAAGCAAGGGTAATAGGAATGTACGGGCGTGAGATGAGCTCAACGACAATGGCATGCTACTGTTGAACTTCGCAACGGAAAACAGGCTAGCTCTCACGAACACGTTCTTCGAGACACGCAAGGGCGGAATATGGCACACATACAACGGTGTGTCGGGAAACGATTACATGCGCCTTGACTACATCCTGGCAAGGCAGGCACATCGCGGCGGAGTATCTTACGTGGTTGTCATCCCCCAGCCGGTTCGCCCAGTCAAAGCAGACTCAGACCACAATATGGTAGTAACCACCGTCACCCTCGGTGGCAGGCTTGCCCACAACCGTGCAGTCCGGACTAGACCGAAACAAAAGCAATTCAATCGACGGGAATTGCAGTTCGAAGCAGCACGGTGTGCGGNATGCGCCTTGACTACATCCTGGCAAGGCAGGCACATCGCGGCGGAGTATCTTACGTGGTTGTCATCCCCCAGCCGGTTCGCCCAGTCAAAGCAGACTCAGACCACATAGGGACGGCATCCTCCAGCGGTGGGCGAGATTCTTCAGCACCCTACTCAACAGCAAACCCCCCACCCTCAACCCAGACATCATCGAACGAGTGACGCAGCGGCCAGCGACACGTGACACTCAACGGTTGGGAGAGGTGACAGACCTCGAGGAGGTGGCACGGGCAACGAAATGCCTCAAGAACTGGTAGGCACCCGGCCATGATTCCCTCCCTGCCGAGTTGCTCAAGATCGATGACGACGAACCCTTCGTCCTGGGACACCTCCATACCATCCTCGTCAAAGTGTGGAACAGAGTGAATATCCCGCGAGAGTGGAAGGATGCAACCATCAAGGTGCTGTGCAAGAAGGGTGACCGGTCCAACTGTAACGACTACAGGGGGATTTCGCTACTATCTCACGTCGGCAAGGTCCCCATCAAGATCATCACCAACCGTCTAAGCGCCTTCTGCGAAGCCAACAACATCCTCCCGGAGGAACAGTGCG